GGGGGTGGCTCTGGCCATGGCGGCCAAGGAGGACGTGGAGCTGTCCCTGATGCGCCGCGCGGCCGCCATCACCTCCGAGCTCTTCACCAAGTTCTTCAAGGAGAGGGTCATGGAGATCGTCGACGCCGACGAGGTACCGGGGGCATTTCGGGGCAAATCGGGGCGGTTTGGGAAAAAATGTAAAAAATACAAAAAAAATTGATAGGTTTGGGGTAAAAAATTGGGGGGGTTGGTAAAAAATTGAGGGGATTTGGTAAAAAAATCAGGGGCGTTTTGGTAGAAAAATCAGATTTTGGTAAAAGATCAGGGGAAAGGGTTGGTAAAAAATCTACGGGATTTTGAAAAAAATCGGGGTTTTGGTAAAAACTCAGACGAGTTTTGGAAAAAAATCAGGGGGGTTTTGTTAAAAATTCAGGAGGGGTCTGTGTAAAAAATTAAGGGGGTTTTGGTAAAACTTTGAGGGGTTTAGTAAAAATTCAAGGGATTTTGGTAAAAAAATCAGACGTGTTTTGGTAAAAAGTTGGGGAGGGGTTGATAAAAATTTGGGGGGGTTTTGGTAAAAGATCAAATGTGTTTTGGTAAAAACTGAGGGGGGTTTTGGTGAAAAATCCGGAGAGTTTTGGTAAAAAAAATCCAGTGGGTTTGGTTAAAAATTAGGAGCATTTTGATAAAAAATCTGACAGATTTTGGTAAAAAATCAGGGTAGTTTTGGTAAAAAATCAGGGGGGGATTGGTAAAAAATCACAGGTGTTTTGGTAAAAAATTGGGGGGGTTGGTAAAAATTCAGGGAGGTTTTGGTAAAAATTTGGGGGGGGTTCAGTAAAAAATTGAGGGGGTTTGGTTAAAAATTAGGGGTGTTTTGATTAAAAAAGATCAGACAGATTTTGGTAAAAATTCAGGGGGCTTTTTTGTAAAAATTTGGAGGTCTTTGGTTAAAAGTTAGGGAGGAGTTGGTAAAAAATTAGACGTGTTTTGGTAAAAAACTGGGGGAGGTTGGTAAAAATCTGAGGGACTTCTGGTAAAAAATTGACCTCAAAAATGAGTATTTCAAGCCCCAAAATGAGCATTTTTGGCCCCGAACTCTTTGTTCCTCCACCCGGGCGACTTTCCTGAGATCCCATGATGATGCCATGATGATGTCATGATGATGTCATGATGACGTCATGCTGACATCCCCCTTTTTTCCCCTGCAGAAGGTTCACCAAATTAATCCCAAAAATGAGCATTTTGAGCCCGAAACAAGCGTTTTTGGCCCCAAACTCTTTGTCCCTTTGCCCGGGCGACATCACTAAGATACTGTGATAATATTGTGATGATGTCATGATGACATCACGGTGACATCACCCTTTTTTGCCCCCAATTGCAGAAAGTTCGTCACAGCAAACTGGCCGAGGCCGTGGAAAAGGCCATCGAGGAGAAGAAGTTCCTGGGTGGGGCCGACCCCTCGGCCGTGGAGATGTGCTACCCCCCCATCATCCAGAGCGGCGGAAACTACAGCCTCAAGTTCAGCGTCGTCAGGTAAAAAAACGACCCAAAATTCGCGGTTTTACACCCAAAAATGGGTTCGGTCAAAATCGCCGTTTTCCGCCCCAAAAATGAGCTCTGGGTCAGTGGGATGTGCCGCCCCCCCCCATCATCCAGAGCGGGGGCAGCTGCAGCCTCAAGTTCAGCGTTGTTAGGTAAAAAAGTGACCCAAAATTTGCGTTTTTACACCCAAAAATGAGTTCAGTGTCACGTCATCAAAAACGGCACTTTCCGCCCCAAAAATGAGCTCTGGGTCAGTGGGATGTGCTGCCCCCTCATCATCCAGAGCAGCGGCAACTACAGCCTCAAGTTCAGCGTCGTCAGGTAAAAAAATGACCCAAAATTCGTGTTTTTACACCCAAAAATGGGTTCTGTCAAAATCACTGTTTTTGCCCCAAAAATGGGTCACGTGTCATTGAAATTGGCACTTCTCACCCCAAAAATGGCCCCAGTGGCACAAAATCGCTTTTATCCCTTTTTTCCCCATTTTTCACCCCCAAACCCCATTTTTTTCCCATTTTTTCCCTTTTTTCACAATTTTAACCAAAATCCCCCATTTTCTCCCCATTTTCGCAGCGACAAGTCCCCCCTGCACTTCGGGGCCATCCCCTGCTCCAGTGGGACCCTTTTATCCCCATTTTTCACCCCCAAACCCCCATTTTTTCCATTTTTTTTCCATTTTTTCTAATTTTTCCCATTTTTAACTAAAATCACGAGTTTTTTCCCCATTTTCACAGCGACAAGTCCCACGAGCCCTTCAGGACCATCCCCTGCTCCAGGGGGACCCTTTTGTCCCCTTTTTTCCCTTAATTTTACCCCCAAAACTCTATTTTTTCCCATTTTTCTATTTTTTCTCCATTTTTAACCAAAATCCCCCATTTTCACCCCGTTTTTTCAGTGACAAGTCCCACATTCACTTCAGGGCCATCCCCTGCTCCAGGAGGACCCTTTTATCCCCTTTTTATCCCCTTTTCCCCCTCTTTTTCCTCCGAAAAACTGCATTTTTATTTTTTTTTTTCCCATTTTTTACCAAAATCCCGCGTTTTCTCCCCGTTTCCACAGCGACAAGTCTCACATGCACTTCGGGGCCATCACCTGCTCCATGGGGATCCGTTACAAATCCTACTGCTCCAACCTGGTCCGGACCCTGATGGTGGATCCCCCCCCAGGAGATGCAGGATCACTACTCCTTCCTGCTGCAGCTGCAGGAGCTGCTCATCCGCGAGATGAGACACGGTCAGAACCCAAAAACACCCCAAAACACCCCAAAAACGGCCTCGGCGACCCCGAAAACCCCCAAAAACACCCCAAAAACCCCAAAACCACCCATAATTACCCCAAAAACAGCCAAAATCATCCAAAAACCCCACAAAATTACCCCAAAACCAGCCATAAATTTGCTCAAAAATCGTCCCAAAAATTACCCCAAAACCAGCCTCGAAATCGCTGAAAATCACCCCAGAAACAACCCCAAAGTCGCTCAAAAATCATCCCAAAAATCACCCCAAAAACTGTCCAAAAACCCCCAAAATCAGCCCCAAAACCAGACCCAAAGTCAGCCCCAAAAAGAGCCCCAAAACCACCCCAAAACCAGCCTTAAAATCGCTCAAAAATAATCCCAAAATCACCCCAAAAACAAACCCAAAATCGCTCAAAAATCATCCCAAAAATCACCCCAAAACCAGCTCCAAAATCACCCCAAAAACAGCCCTGAAATCGCTCAAAAATCACCCTAAAATCACCCCCAAAACAGCCCCAAAATCACTCAAAAATCATCCAAAAATCACTCGAAAACCAGCCCCAAAATCACTCAAAAATCATCCAAAAACCACCCCAAAACCAGCCCCAAAATCACCCCCAAACCCACCCCAAAACCCTTCTGGGACCCCCAAAACCACCCCAAAAACCCCCCTGGGACCCCAAAACTACCCAAACCCACCCCAAAATCCCCCCAAAAAAACCCCAAACCCCCCCAAAACCCTTCTGTGACTCCCAAAATCGGGGGACCCTTTTGGGACCCCCCAAATGACCCTTTTTTGTCCTTTTTCACCCCAAACCAGGGGCCAAACTGTGCGACGTCTACGGGGCCGTGATGGACGTGGTGAAGAAACAGAAACCCGAATTACTGCCCAAAATCACCAAAAATTTGGGGTCAGAGACGCGACTTCAGGGATTTGGGGGCATTTTGGGGGGGGTTGGGGTCATTTTGGGGGGGTTTGGGGTCATTTTGGGGTCATTTTTGGGGGATTTGGGGGCATTTTGGGGGGATTTTGGATCATTTCTGGGGTCATTTTGGGGGGATTTGGGGTCATTTTAGGGGGTTTGGGGTCACTTGGGGGGTTTGGGGTCACATGGGTTTGGGGTCACTTTGAGGGGGTTTGGGGTCATTTTGGGGGGATTTGGGGTCACCTGGGGGGGTTGGGATTTTGACCCATATTTTTGGGGGGATTTACCCCAGTTTTGGGGTTTTACCTCAGATTTGGGATTTTTACTTGTGTTTTGTGGTGGCTTTACCTCAGTTTCCAGGTTTTTACCCATATTTTGAGGTTTTTTCCCCCAGTTTTGGGTTTTTTTCCCTCAGCTTTGGGGTTTTTATCCCTTTTTTGTGCGTTTTTTCCCCAGTTTTGGGTTTTTTTCCCCTCAGCTTTGGTGTTTTTACCCCTATTTTGTGGTTTTTTCCCCTCAGCTTTGGTGTTTTTACCCCTATTTTTTGTTTTTTTTCCTCAGTTTTAGGGTTTTTCCCTCAGCTTTGAGTTTTTTATCCCTATTCCGTGTTTTTTTTCCCCAGTTTTGGGGTTTTTTCCCTCAGGTTTGAGGTTTTTTACCTGTATTTTGTGGATTTTTTTCCTCAGTTTGGGGGTTTTTACCTATATTTTGAAGGGTTTTTCCCCTACTTTTGGGTTTTTTCCTCAGTTTTGGGTTTTTTACCCCTATTTTGTGGTTTTTTCCCCATTTTTGGCATTTTTCCCCCTCAGGTTTGCGATGGGCATCGAGTTCCGCGAGGGTTCCCTGGTCATCAACAGCAAGAACCAGCAGCGCCTGCGCAAAGGTCAGAGCACCAAAATCACCCTTTTTCCACCCAAAACCCTCCCTCTCCAACACAAACATTTTTCTCCTCCCAAAAGGGGCTTTTTCCGCCCCAAAATCCTGATTTTCTCCCCCCCAACCCGCCCCTTTCCCCCCCCCAATCGGCCCTTTCCCCCCCAAAAATCCCTATTTTCCCCCCCAAAATCCTTGTTTTCCCACAAAAATCATGGTTTCCCCCCTAAAAATC